TCACTCATGATTTCAACTGTGAAAATACTGATATCTCCACAAAACCCCTTCTGATCAATATCATATTTACTAATACTCAAGACCAGTAAAGTATGGCTATGATTTTCCATTTAGTGACAGACATTAATTTAAAACTAACCAGATATTTTGTTACATTTTAATCGTCTTTTTGTATTATCCTAATCTGTATTTTCCTTAGAATAAATATTTGTCTCACAATGTGGCATGGAAGATTAAGAATATTGTGTTAAATTATAGATAGTTCTAATTCTATACATAACATGTTTGTTTAGCGACAGTAGTGCAGAAACACTGGACATTTAATTGTTCATACTATATAAGATTTAATATCCAGATTGTGACTGACACTATCAGGTTCAAATAATCTAGTCTATAAGGTTATCTAGTATTAAAGGAAAACAAATTATTATATTGATCATACCCATCAATAAGCATTAGCAAAAAGTTTTTTCCTCTAAATCATTATCAAACTTTTAACATGATTACGTAACCTATCAAACATTCTTTGTTTATCAAAATACGAAATGCATTCGCAATGTTTTTATTTCACAATTATTTTCCTCTAAAAAAACTATTCTTAACCCATAAAAAGGCTAAACACTTTGATATTTTGTTATCAAACATTTATAGATCTAGCAAGAAGTGATTTACACAATCTGGATATAAAATCACTTGCAGTAATAAATGTGTATATGTTTTACTTTATATATCACTTCAATAGAGTCTTGTAGAACGAAGGCAAATTTCTCCTAATTGTTTTCCATTCAACTGCACGCAATCCTAAAATATTAAATATATATATGTATATACTTTTGACTTATGATTTTCAGTTTTAACAGTTGAATTCTAATAGGTCGCTCTAAGTTAGACCATCATTGAAAACTTGAAGGCATTGGACGACTGTTTCGTCCTAGTACGAACATCTAGTGTTTCCAGATTTTCATTGATGGTCTAGTTTAGATCTATCCATAAAAATTCAACTGTTAAAACCGGATATAATAAGTCAAAAGTTAATTGAACTTTAAACACCATAAAATTAGGGATAAACAATAAAATTAATTCGACACAAGTAATAAATTAAACGTTATTACGATATGTGATTATTTTAGATGTAAGTATTAGTGAATAATTATAAATTTATTAAACATTTAAAAGGGGACTATAAAATCCTATTGAAGTTATGAACATACTTAAAGTACTGTTTGTGGCCGAGTGGATGCCTAGTTAATGTATGACATGATAAAACCGCCAATCAGAGAGCAGCGAATTATCGATTGGAACAGTGACACACGAAAACCGTATGAGCAGTCTAGAGTGCTTATCGATTCTGCTTCTGCCTAGCCCAGCAAGTTAAGTCCAGAACACCATGAACAGCCTCTGCAATATGAATCATTGTATTTCAAACATACTGAGTTTATATACCAAACAGACTGACCACATCGTGCCATAAATTAAAAAATAACATTTGTACAAGATTTGGCCAAATGTGGCTGTGAATGTAGGAGGCAGTAATTAATAAAATAGGGATAACTCAAGAATGGTAAATCGTATAATAATAGTTTATGGGTCAAAATAAAGCTTATAATAAGGGTAACATGGATATGAATAATTCAGTTATTTTGCAATTATCCGATAAAAAATATATGCATAATATTGGTCCGTAAATGGATCCCTAAGTTACCATTCAGTGTTGTTATCGGGATATTACAAGTACATAATAATAAGCAGTATGTTTCTACTCATGCATAATGATGTCTTATTTCTTGCATTTGAAATTAGAATAGTAATTATTAGTCTCTCCTGTTCATCCACTTTTGTAAATTTATTTAAACTAGATTTGTGAATAGGCGAATTCTTCACTTTAGTTTTTTTCATAATACAGGGAATGAAATAGAATGTCAATGAGGGATTATTAATTTATGAAAAGGAGGTTAAACCTTTCATTCTAATGTTCTGGCGCGAATGTCCTGGGTTTGAATCTCACGAGGCCGGATCGTAGATGCGCGCTGCTGAGGAGTCCCATAATAGAACGAAACGGCCCTTCAGTGCTTCCAGGTCTTCCATGATGGCCTGGCTTCGATTGACTCATGATTTCAACTATGAAAATGAAATAAAGCTGTTATAACTAATTTTAGAAAAAATGTTTTATTTATTCAAGAATAGGAAATGAGTTTTACAAATTAGAAGCTATCAAAACTTATTATTTTACTCCATGAATGAATCAATGAACGAGTGTTAAGCATTTCGCCTGTTCATAATTTCATATAAATCTTACTTGTCTAGGTAGTGTAATTCTGTATAGTGTAAGTATATGCTGATATTGAATCAAGAAATTAATTATTGTTGATATGATAGGCTTGGATGTTAGAGTACAGTTCTAGTGTACGGAGATAAAAATTGGAGAAATACCACAACAATCATCAAAAATATACGAGTATTTATAAACAATTATCCACACAAGATATTCACTCTCCATTCCGCAACACTATCAGCAACAACCTTCTGTGGAACAGAACAAATCAAATTCCATATGAACAAGAATTTCGTAAACGTTGATGGAAGTGGATAGGACATACATTACAGAAATCATTAAACTACATCACAAAGCAAGCAGTTAGTCGGAATTCTGAGGGGATATGGGAAAGAGATAGACCAAGGAACACACTTCGTCGAGAATCGGAAGTAGACATGGAAAGGATGAATAGCAACTGGAAAGCATTGTCCAAGATATATTTGTTTGGAGTATGTTGGTGGACGACCTATGCTCCTCCATGAGAGATAACAGGCGTAAGTAAGTAAGGTGTGGAGGTATTAGTAAATTTTTATAGTTCACATCACTGAATGTTCTTAGTAAAACAACCATTCAACATCAAGAAGCACGGTATAGTTGTTTGTTCCTCCTCGGAAGTCGTCATCCTTCACTACATTGAAGACCACATTTAGAATCATGAGGTCTTTAGGTGAGTTTTTGACTTCCAGACCACTGGGTTGGTTTCTGGTGGTTTATATTGTATAAAAAACCAAGGTAATAAAGTCAGAATTCGTAAATGCAACTAGGCACGATGTGAGAAGGTTTCTAACCTACGTTTGAATAGTCCGTTTTCTCAAATTCATTGAACATTCAACACAACCATTTATTTCATCCTTTGTTTGTGTTATCACATTTCGTAATATAAACTCAACACTGTTTCGCCTAAATTTTACACATCAATTATTGGAAATCGGATACAAAAGAAAGAAATTATTACGACAATACAACCAATTACTATTTCGTTTGACTGAAATTTTAACCATTTATCAATTATAGATGCTCTTTACCTAAACTTTGTAAGTGACAATCTAAACAAGTGATTACAGAACGTTTTATAATCATGATGATCGTTTTCATAATAAAACATATGTAATTACAGTTGCACATGTTTGTCTCGATAGTTTAATAGTTATCACAAAACACGAATACATTATGCTTTTATACCATACCGCTGATAATCCTCAAAATGAGACAAAACAATTGTTTAATGTTTTTTTTTGTTTTCAATAAATTTTCAACTGACGTCAATCTACTAAACTGCCGGAACCTAATATCAATAAATAACATCATATTATGTATAATAACCTTGTATTATCCTTTTTATTAGACTACTCCCGTACGTCATAGTTGAAATATGTGAGATTTAAAAGTAGAAATCATACTTTAAAGAATTGCTTGACGTAATTCTTTTCTAAAGTATAAAGTGATCCAGTAAAAAACACTTTTTTTTGTTATCATTACTTACTGTGTATTATTCAAACAATCAGATATGTGATCGAAAATTTAATTAAATTTAACTGTTAAATGCCGTAGAAATTTATGAATGGTAAATTTGAGAACTATTTATGGACCAATGTGATATGTATATTTCCTATTGCATAATTGTTAAGTAGCTTAAACTATTCATGTTCGTGTCCCTCTTATTATAAGCTTTATTTTGACCCATAAATTATTATTATACGATTTACCATTCTTGAGTTATCCCCAGTCTATTGACTACTGTTCCCCCTATTCACAGCCACATTTGGCTAACTCTTGTACAAATGTTAATTTTTAATTTATGGCACGATGTGGTCAGTCTGTTTGGCATATAAACTCAGTATGTTTGAAATACAATGATTCATATTACAGAGGCTGTTCATGGTGTTCTGGACTTAACTTACTTGGCTAGGCAGAAAGCAAGACTGATAAGTACTTAAGACTGCTCATACAGCTTTTGTGTATCATTGCTCTGATCAATAATTCACTCCTCTCTCACTGGAGGGAATCAAAACGTTTATATACATAAAACAGGGCACGTACACATACTCAGTCGATATAACATCAATTACTTACTTACGCCTGTAACTCCCAATGCAGCATAGGCCGCCGACCATCACTCTCCAACCCACTCTGCCCTGAGCCTTCCTTTCTAGTTCTATCCAATTTTTGTTCATTCTTCTCATATCTGTCTCTATTTGTCGGCGTTATGTGTTCTTTTGTCTTGCTCTTCTCCTTTGACCTTCAGGATTCCATATGAGGGCTTGCCTTGTGACGCAGTTGGGTGATTTCCTCAATGTGTATCCTATCCACTTCCAATGTTTCTACCTAATTTCTTCTTCCGCTGGAATCTGTTTTGATGTCTCCCACAGTAACTTGTTGCTGATAGTGCTTGGTCAACGGATCCGAAGTATCTTGTGTAGACAACTGTTAATAAACACTTGTATCTTCTGGATAATGGCTTTCGTAGTTTTCCACATCCCCACCCCATACAGTAGAACTGTCTTATGGGGCGGACACGTCATCAACCATGTTTCATTTCTTATCTGCCTTATTCTAATAATAATGCATAGAATTCATTTGATAATAATCTTATCAACATCAAAACACTTTTTGTCTTTATGTATAATATAATTGTTTACTGGAAAAATTAAGATATTTTTATATTTATTTTTTTAAATATCTTTAGCATCTAGATTGTAATACTGAAATACAAAAACAATCTGTATATGGTGATAATCAAAGAAACGTTAGTGATTCCTTATTTCTATTAAATACATTTGAACAATCTACTTCTAATTCAAAATATTACAATAATCGTCATCATAGTTTGAAAATTAAAAAAACAAAATATTCCGCTATTTCTAGATTACATTCAATACATTTTATTCCACATGGATTTTATAATTATTTTTATGATCAAATTAAAAAATCTGATCATCAAATAAAACGTCATAAAACCCTTATTAATAAGTTAAATACAACAACTATTAATAATACTACTAATAATACTACTCATAATACTAATAATAATAATACTACTAATATTAATAGTAGTAATCCATCAGTTAAAAAACAATTTCTACGACATTTTTCATTTATTTATCATGATAGAAAATTATCCTCATCATTATTATCATCATCATCCGCATCATCCGGATTATCATATTCAAATCATTCACATTTAAAAATATTATTTAAAAATAATGATCATGAAAATTGTTATCATAATAGAACAACACCTTTAACAACATCATTATTGGATAAATCACCGAGATTAGAAAGAAAATTAAGCAAACTGTAAGTTGTATCAATCTATTTATAGAACAATTAAGTAGTTTGGTTTTCTTTTTTTTTGAATCTAAGGTAACATTTTTTATTATAAGTGATCATATGATGATAGATCTATCGGTCATTAGATGTATACAACTAGTTCCCGTTCTTTTTTTTTCTTTTCTTCTTTTTTTTCCTTTTTTAATAAAATAAATAAATGCATATTTATGAATCGATTAAATTATACTTTGAATAAACTCATAATATAAGATAATGTCAAAAATGTTTTAAGTACATATGGAAAATTCCAAATAAAAAAAAAGGGTGAATAAAATAATGAAAAAAATTTCATTATTGATTATAAATATTGATAATATTTACTTATTTGAAAGATTCTATAAATATTGATTTTGATACAAACAAGTTTTCAGTTTGATAAAATACATTTAATAAAGCAATAAACATTGTTGTATGATTAGCAGAGACTAACCAGTTGCAGTACTAACAAATCGATGGGAAGATTCAAACAAACAATACTAAGTTGAATTGTTGTATGAGTTGTGTTGAGTTTTCCCATTGATGTTTACGACTGTAATTGATCAGTCTTATATGTGAACTCAGTAGCTAAGTGGAGAATGGGATGGCGTTCCAAGTGAAAGGTGCTGGGTTCAAGTTCCAAAGTGAAAATCAACTCTGGAATGCAGGCATATCCATCTGAATAGAACAAAGCAGGCGTCTTGGAATTCACTATTAATCACAATATATCTCTGCTAATAAACATTGTAATGACTTGAATCTAACTAATTTTATATCCACAATATTTTACGCAAACAAGTGAATCTTATTATTCAGACACAAGTTGATAAATATATCCATAATAGAACTCAGTTTATTCCAATTAACTTTCATTCATATATATATTCATCAATTATACTAGTCTAAATAATGTAGGAGTAGAATAAGTGATGGAGTTCTTAACGTTAATAACTAATCGGGATATGAGGAAATGATTGTCAATATGGTAGATCAACTTATTAGAATGATAGTAATTATGAAAATCAATCATTAAATATGTAAAGTGGAGAAAAATCACCACTACTTGTTTAGGCATATTATTCAATTACATAAAAGATATGGAGATTATACCTTCAATACATCCAAAGCCCACAAGAAAAGATTATATTACATTACGATTGTTTCCATAGTTTACTAGTATAATATATTACAAATAAAAATGACATTCATTTGAATTTTAGCTACATTTTGATAAGTCAACCACTTACATATCAAACAGTCTAATCAAATACTTACACGCTATTATATCTTACCCAGAAATAATTATCGACATATCTTTCACGCAACGGATTACTATGCTTAAACAAGTAGACAGGCATTATTCTCCACTTCACATATTTGATTTTCATAATTACTATCATTCTAATAAGTTGATCTACCATATTGACAATCATTTCCTCATATCCCAATTATTTATTAACGTTAAAAACCCCATAACTTATTCTACTCCTACATCAATTGCACTAGCATAATTGACGAATATATATATATATATATATATATATATATATATATATATGTATATATAATATCTGATATATCTAATATCTATTTTCAAACAATCCATGAAATTGAGCAGCTGTCTACCTTTGTCTTCAGTGAGTTACTATCTCACAACGGACTCGGTCGAACTCCACTGGTCACGGCTTCTTAATAGAACTAGAGGAAATAATCCCAGGAGACCGTCACTAGTGAGCATATGGTGATTATAATCAGAGGTAGTTTTGTGAATATTGTAGTAATTTTAATGGTTGAATTAATGAGTAGTATAGAGGTAGGGGCGCTCGTGCGCAAGAGCGTTAGGTCCTAAGTTCGAGTCTCCCTCGACTGGATCGTGGATGCTAAGGAGTCACATACCGGGACTAAACGTCCATCCAGTTCTTCTAGGTTTTCCATGGTGGTGTAACTTCAATTATCTCATGAATAATATAAATAAATTTATAAATCATTAATAAAGTACCTCTTTGTTAACAAAAATTTCTTTTCAAAGAAATATGTCACAAAACCCTATACTTATACATTATTTTGCAGTATAATTGATAATCATTGTTTCAGGACAAAGACCTAATTTAAAGACCTACAAATAAAATATTTAAAATGTTTATATAACACTTCAGATAAATAGTTTTCAACTGGCCACTTATTAATGATCACCTAAAATACATGTTAGTGTTGTAATCAGTCATCATGTAATTGTATTTGTGAGGTGGGCATAATATTTTTTGGCAGCTAATGTTAACAGCCAATGTTTTTCAAGTGCACAGCCTTTCAAAATAATGATCTAAATTTTTTATTTTTCTTTGTAAATAACATTGTAAACGTTTATAAATCAGATAGTCTAGATTTATATTTCCAAATCCAACAGTTCCCTTTGTTAAACATACTGGACGAACAATGAAAAACTGTATGTAGATTTTCCGTCACAAAGAGATAACAATTACTCCTGTTAAACTGTCAAACACTAAATCGCTGAATGTTGAAAAAAGTAACCTTTTTTTGACAAGCATATGTGTAATATAGGTTGAATGAAGTGTCAATGAACAAGCCTATGTCTAACCAAATAAATTTCTATTTCAATGATATGACTTAATGTGAATAAGGTCAATTGTATCAAGTAACCATTTACGTATTTAGAATATCGTATTTCAATATGTTAAGTTAAACTGTTCATTTATTTATCAAATGTCTAAATGACATTTATCACTGTATCGAATTTTTGCAATGCAGTGATAAATATCATATGAAACATTATTATTACATTTCGTATGTTCCATTATTATTATTATTATTATTATTATTATTATTATTATTATTATTATTATTATTAATGACTTGTTAGATATGTAAGTCTTCATTATATGACGTTGTTTTCTGTACGGAATCGTTTACTGAAACCGTAAATTTGAAAAACCTGAAAAGCTGTTGGCAAGGTAATAAAGTGAGCGATGATCATTATTCATCTACAGCTTTATTACTATGGAATTGTGATGACCGATCAGTGTCTGTTCACTTGACCTTAGCAATAGAAATGATCTTGTTGTACTAGTGAACTGACCTTACTACATTTCTCTACTGTACCTAGTAACCAAATCATATGAATGTGAAATGAATTATTGATGGTTTCATTACTCCTCCTTAAAATGGAAACAAGAAATTCAAACAAAATTTAAATCAAATTGTGGGTGGCCCTGAAAAGGGCCTTTACTCGGTCTCTACACAGCTCCTTCGGTCCTGATCGATGACACCACTATGAGTCCGTGACAGCGCCGCACATGGGACAGTTGAACCCAGGTGATACTTCTGTTAGGTCGTAGGCACAGAACGAATGAAACATAGCGTTGCATGGAGAAAAAATCCAAGCACTTCCATCAGCTAGTTCACTGGGCGACTGACATAGATGGCAAATATCACACAGTCGGTCATTGTGCGCACGTTCGTCTTCTCCATTGTCTCGGTCCGCAAACTCTTCTGAGTTCATAGATATTACTTCAATCTCGTCATCATTTAAGGTAGCATCCAAATCTACGTTCTGTTGACGGTTGGTGCCTGTGGTATTTCGGACGACGGGCATTGTGATGGTCGTAGGTAATCCATCGTTAAGCAACTGATGAGCATAGTTATGGACAGCGGTATGCTGTTCAGCGGACATACGCCGACACAAGTAGTGAATCGATGTTTGGACGTTTGTCTGCCCGACTTGTACCGGTAACTCATTGCCAATCGTTACTGTGGTTACGTAGCTGTTGGAATGATGTCACCAATGCTTTCTCTGTGAACTTCGACATTATCGTGCGAACAATATGCCAAGATGTGACGACATACGACTCTGTGTTCTACACTAAAGAAACAGGAACAACTAATAGGATTTTTGGAGACTGTGTAAGTTCCTGTAGTATCAACAGCCGTGAAAAACTCCCCCGACAATACGTAGTCAGTAACAGGAACACGCATGTGCCGCTTAAGCAGTTGACATGCAGCAGGTGTAAGTGTTTCCTGAAGACGACGTAGTTGAGGCTCGCGACTGAGCACAGCCCTGCTACGGCATTCAGTGGAGTACTCTTGAACTCTAGCTTCTATCCAATATCCAGTGCGAAGCAGAACACTAAATATCGATCTGAACACGGGTGTTTTTCTGTACAGCTTATGCAACTTTAAAATTCGATGGGTCGTCTCAACGAAATTTGTATTGCTTTGATCTAGAAGCATTGCAGCTGGTTTAAAAGCCTTCGACCACTTGTGCTTTTTGGACAATAACTGATCTCTCAAATATTGGTAGAAATTCCCGTCTGCTGCTTCGATAAATGACACATACCGTTGGAAGCTACAATACATTGTAAAGCATATTTCGATTTACCTTTCCACATTTCTTGTTAGCATAAGACGGTAGAACATTTGAAGAAGATCAGATCGTAGCCTCTACGAATACGATGAATGGGTTAATTGTTAAGAAAGGAAAGCTTACCCTCTTGATGACATTTCGAAGAAGGTGCATGCGGCACAAAAGGAGGTGTGAATTGGGATACACCTGCGTTATGGCAGCAGCTATAGCAGGTGAATCATCGGTAACAATACCGATAACCTCTCTACTGTTACTAATTTGGGGGAAGAACGAGAGGAAACTGGACAGCAAAGTCGATGTTTCGCAACTTATACATGCAATACAAACAGGTATTACCATGAAATTCATGTCCAGAGTCACCACGTGATACAGAAACATGTTTTCATTATTGGTTTTGTATGTCCTATCAAAACCAACAACATCTAAAAACCTGTTACACAGATTGATCTGGTCTGCTGTAGCGAAGAAGAAGTACAACAGACTATGATCTGCATCCAATTGATAATCACAACGGCCACCAAGTGATGTGAAGTGATTTTTCAATTTACCGTAATCACCTACAGTTAATAGTATATATATGCACATTGCTTACCAGGAAGGTTGGCCTGTGAGAACACTTTGTAACGCATATTGAAAACATCTTGAGCTGTAAGACGTTTCCCATATGTTTGGTACGCGTAGTGTATCACATTGAATGCTGATGTTCCAGATATCAGCAGTGGCTTCACTGTTTCCAATTCCGTCGCCGTTAATCTGCGCATCCATGTGTTACAGTCGTACCTCAGGGAATTGCACTCGTGATTGTGATGCACATTCCCACGAACAACAGTCCAATAACCTTCAAGAAACTTGCAAAAGATGAAGGCCGGACATTGTGTGTCCATTGAAGTCCTCAATGAACAATATAATAACACTAATCAAATTACCTCCTTCGTCTAATCGGCTGCGAAGAACCGCTAGGTGTTTTATAGCTCTTTCTCCAACATACAAATTTAATATACGGCTTCCGATCTCCATGGAAATGAGAATCTCTCACCGCATAATGGCAGTACGTTGCTATTTCATAAGTTCTAATGGCGCTCCTTAACGCTTCCAGTGATGGAAACGCTACCAGATACAATGTATTCAAAAATACATTTTCCGTTTCTGTGACTTCGTGAGGAACAACAGAGTCTGTAATATGCACGTTACTGATGTCCATATTGTGAAGAAAATTATCTATATCGATAAGTACAGAGCTTTTATACGAATTTCAAGAATTACATAACCAATTATGACGCATTTACAACTAGGAATTTCATTGGACGAAATGGATTCAAAAAAATTGGAAAATGGGATGAAAATTTTTTGATTAAGGGGGACAAAAAAATCTATTAAAAAAAATCGACGTGATCCTAATGTTATTCCCGATCTAGCACTCGAATTTCAGATTAGGGTGAAAAGCTGACCACAACGTCAATAATTAGAAAAATACAATTATGTCCAAAACTGGGGAATTATAGTAGAAAATAGGGTACAAAAGATTACCTCTAAATGACAATAGCTTTAGAACAGAAAATACTATGGCAATGAATTATACATCAAACGAAAGCTTATGATCTGTAGAATAGGCTAGGGGCAAAAGTAAATGTTACAGTTTTACAAGCTTTGAATTAAATGAATTGACGTCCCCAAAAATAGCTTCCGTAATTTGTTCAGGCTTCTTGTTTTGCGGTTCACATCATTGCTAATATAGGAAATTATTAAATTGCTATAGTTACAAAATCAAAATATTATACGTTGATCACTTACTTTCCCTAACTTTACATAACTGCAAACTACGGTCAGTTAACCTTGTTGCCAAGTTGTATAGTTAATTGATTCGAGTTACTATCTCACAAAGCTAGAATGCTTCCAGGTTTTCCTTGGTAGTTTAGCATCAATTGACTAATGAACTGAGCTATAAAATTACTAAAATATTCACAAAACCCCTTCTGATTCTAGTTATGTTGGAATTAAAAAGATTACTAGGTAACAATTCAGTGTCTATGTTGATTTCAAGATTTTTAATAACTGTGTAGGGATCGTTAGAATACATCTTTACTATTGTACAAAAATAATCATACTAAGTGATATAATTAAAAGTAAGTAATTTTGTTCAGTGGTTCTCATTTTTTAAACTTAGACGTAGACTGCAATTTTGAACTAATTCACAGACTTTTTTTCAACTTACAATAATATTCTCTTGATATTGATTATATTTTAGAGCTATTGGTGTACGGGATAAGATAACAACGCTCTGTCGTTCGGCTAGTTCAGCTTTACCTCAGTCATATGGTACTGATATCGTCATTTCAAACCATAGAGTGTTTCTGGAAAAATTATTTCGGTCGGGTGGGCCAACTAGAGAAGATGTAGAAGATTGGGCGCGTTCATTTGAATCTGTGTTAAGGGACAAATGTAAGCAGAAAATAAATATTCTATGAGGTTTATAAATTAAAATGTTTACAAGAACAGGAATTAATTCAATTCTTCAAAAAAAGGAATGATATTTATTATGTAAGAAATCACTCAGAATGATATTGAAGTTGAAAGAATAAAGTAGAAAGCCGGCAGCAAGAATTAATAGTTTTCATGAATCTCATCTCTTCATTATTGTATTTCGATTACGTTTGCCTCAAACCAATCATCACTTTGGTGTAACATTAAATTCTTGTTATTATCCTTAAATGAATTTCGTAACATGTTAGAAAAATAATTGTGGTTACGGGAAATTTAAAAACTATAGCTAATATTTTCATACCGTTGGGCAAGGTATTTCCTCAGCCCGGACTCAGTAACTCGATTTACAACACTTTGAAGCTTCAATTGTAAGACAAGTGGTTAAAATTTTAGTATGATAATTAATTCGAGGACGCAAGTATGTCTAACTGACAATTCCTAGATAAAAGTGGATGTCTAATGTGGATTTCAATGCTATCGACAATTCGAATCAAATCAAACATCTTAATATTCCATATAAATATATTACTTCCATTCCAGTTATCTACTTCAATATTTCAAAGAGAACTACTTACTAAGATCATTAAGTTATGGTTGTTCTGTTAGTATCAACCCTTTAAAATTAAAAATTTGGATCACTGTGTTTAAACTTAGAGGATGAAAGATCAAGTTTTCATCTAGAGGTATTATGCTTCTGGATTGTTGTGTACATGAGAGTGTAAACAGACATTAGTGAACAATCACAAAGAAAAATGTGACCGGGATTTTGTTTTGGTCAGGTTTCATACTATTTAGTGTAGCCTAAATGACATCCAGCTTCATTTGTAGTCAACAAACGGATATAAATAATCGCTTATTTAACACATCAACCTCCTCATTACATTGTCATTCGAATTTGTTATGTATTTATTTTAGTAAAGGTTTTTGAAGTGTGATGGCTAGTCATGTACTGCTTGACTCAGTTTATTCATAAATAACATTTAGCGCCATTCAACAAAATTAAGTGTCTTCTAAATATACACTCAGATGATTTTGTTTTTGAGAAATGGGAGTGTAAAACAACACTTGATTTTATACAATACTACCTATATCAAGCAAACTAAATATTCAATGCTAGATTGTAATCTTTCAAGTGAATTATAGTTACTGTTATATAGTAACTAACATCCAAGAATATTGTAGTCAACTAAATACATTTCTTTTAATTCGCACTTGTTATTAATAAGAACTAATTAAGATTATGGATGGTGGTTAGCAGTGGAAACTAGGAAGCGCTTTTCGTCCTATTTGGGACTCGTCAGATTGATGTACCTGCATCTCAGAGTTGATGTTCAAACTACTACTCGGGCTCAGTACCTTTCGCTTCAAACCCATCACGTTATCCAATCAGCTACTAAGTCCTGATAGCCACTTGCTTGTGTAATGGAGTGAAGTTTAAATTCATTTAGTATTGTTTGTTTGAACCTTCCCATTAATGTTGCACAAGCAAGTGACTATCAGGACTCAGTAGCTGATTGGATAACGCGATGCATTTGAAGCGAAAGGTACTGAGTCCAAGCCGTAGAGTGAACATCAACTCTGAGATGCAGGTACATCCAGCTGACGAGTCCCAAATAGGACGAAACGCGTGTCAAACTGGATTCCACTGCTATCCATTGTCCATCTTTGCTTATAATGCTTGTGAATTAAGGCTATATCGAGGCAATAAGCACAGTATGCACATATGTTAATTAGAGACTGACCAGTTGCAGTCGTAAACATCAATGGAAAAATTCAAACAAACAATATTAAGTGAATTTAATTAACATTATATTTTACTAATTCGGCTGGCAGTAGCCATGTTTCGAAAGCACAATACCTGTTAATTATTACTCTTTTCTTCCCTTTATTAAGTAGACAGTGATTATTTTTTATTCTATATTTTATTAACTTTTATTACTTCCAGAACTATTACAATAATGTAAGCTCTTAATAATTTTTAATTACTTTGGTAAATGATGAAAAAAATTTTTTTTGTTACTTCCAAACTTTAATTACATTAAAACAAAACCTTTCCATTCATCAATTATCGTATCCAATACATTAAAGTTATGATAATCTTGATTATATTATGCAACACCACTTCATTTTCCTTGACGTCCATCTAAATAAGCTTGGCTATGACAATTTTTTAAAATTACTTTACTATGGACCACTATATGCAAAATAAACCTACATATGAGTACGATTGTACAGCTTCATAAGATGATGTTGTGAATAAAATTTCCTTCTGTGAAATGTTTTAATACTTCTTAATAGAAATAATAATTATTTTAAAAATCACATCTATGATATAATGTAATAGGTGATACAGATAGCAACGGTTGTTCGTTTATTGTTTAGTTTATATACTTACTGGCTTCTGGATTTATGCTGATTTTCCTTTTCTTCAAGATGGTGTCCTGGTGTTTAGGGAATTTTTACGCACAGAATTCAGTGATGAAAATATACGTTTTTGGCTTATATGTGAAGATTATCGTAATAAATCTGGTACAAAAAATATGCAACGTAAAGCATTCAAAATTTTTAATGAATATGTAGCTGTTCAAGCTGCAAGAGAAGTAAGTTATTGATTAGTGAGTTAATTTCAATACATCATGTTTGATGATCATTGAAGATATTGGCTGTAATATAATTAATGCATAATTATTAACAAAAACACAGGATGATGGCTGGAAGCAGTCAACAAGAAAATTCATAGACCTAGGTTTCATATCATTTAGCACTCATCAACAAGGTGTAGCTGTCAACTTAGTGGATTCGATCCTTTCGACTAAATCCAACCATCAGCCTACATCTAAACAAAGTGTGCACGATTTCACACCACTTGGACATATTGTTGTACTGTAATTTGGTCGGTAGAATTTTATCTGCTTTAATAAGGCTTTGAGATATGTAAAAAGTGATCAGTTAACTATAAACATGAGCAAAACTGATTTCATCATTGAAAGGTTTTAAAACAGATTTGATAAACAAGATTCTGACAAAAATCAAGAATAGCAAACTCATTCAGTGTCATTTTCAAGTTGATCAAAAAATGTCTTACCAACAATAATAATAATAATAATCGATGACTCTCAAGTAATCTTTGGTGTGTATAGGACAGAATGAAATCATACCAGATAAATGAATCAAATATGCTATGAGGCTCACAAAGAGTCAGTAATAATGTAGATTAGAGAAGATCTTTGTGTGTAATACTCATGTGAATTAATCTACTTTGCTTGGCTTTGTTTCACCCTGAATTCTTTAAAACCTTTTTGACGTGGATAAATGGATGTAATGATAGTTGGTATTTAATAATTGACAAGTTGTGACATTTAAAATCATTTGCTTTCATTATTCTTGTTACAGACTTTTCATCATATCCATCTTTAAAATTTCTTAGACAACTTATTTCAAATGATTCTTGAACATTTTAACTAAATTGATCCAGTTAATATTTCTATTATTTTAACTAAAAAAACAAAACAAAACAAACATTTCAAAATAAAAATAAAACTAATGAAACAAACCCAGTCTATAAATAGAATAATATATTTTTAATATTCGAATAAGTAGAAAAATAAGATTTTCTGACGTTTCGTGACTCAGTGTAAGCCACTTCTTCAGTGAATATATAATCAAATTAAAATAAATCAGAGTTTAAGTAATTTAACTGAACAGTAAGAATAATACGTCATAATATCTTTATTGTTCCTTCGTACTACAAAGGTTTAGCAATAAGCATTAAAATTTATGAATTCAAGCAAACAACATAATTATTTAAATTCACTTAGTATTGTTTGTTTGAATCTTTCCATCGATGTGTTAGGACTGCAACTGGTCAGTCAACAAAGTTCAATGAATATTATGTACAATAACCTTGAGATAATTTATATTGAACATTTTAATTCTTTAAAATTTCCACGAACGATATTAAATAGATGATATCATATTTTTAGAAAGGGGCTTTGCTTAGATTTCAGTAATTTTATAGTTGAAATGATGAGTCAATTGAAGCTAAACTACCATGGAATACTTGAAAGCACTGGATGGTCGTTTTATTCTATTGTGGGACTCCTCAGTGGTGCGCATCCATAATCCCGTCCCCAGAGATTCAAACCCAGAACCTATCAATTTCGCGCGCGAGCGCTTAATCACTAGACCACTGAGCTAGCCGTCCAGTGCTTCCAGGTTTTCTTTGGTGTTCTAGCTTCAATTTACTCATTACATCATATTTATTTGAATAATATTGTTATATATATTATTAATACTATAATTATCACCTCCTACAGTGTTCTTGAATTCCTTGAAAATATCATGTTTCATAATATCATTTTAATTTTACTGGCTCATCAAATGATAAACTGCTGTTTGCCAATAATTTCTTATGTCTAATGAATATTAAAACTTAAGTTCACTGGAAAAAGCCATTTATCTCAAGTCATTTGAATTATTCGAAAATTTGAAGCCTTTTAAAATAATCCATACTGTTTTGGAAAATGATTTCTTCATTCAGTTAGATATAGATTAACAAAGGCAATCATAAAAAATTATGTTCTTATAGCATACGTAATTACCTTATCTTTTGGTGTCTTTGTTCAACAGGTAAACTTGGACTCTAATACGAGGTTGCAAACTGAAAGAGAACTTGCATCAGCTAACAAAAACACATTTGACCAATGTCAACGTAGAATTCAATCCTTGATGGAAAAGGATTCTTATCGCAGATTTTTACGATCAGATTTATACTTAACGGCAGTGGAATTAAGCAGGATAAGAGAATGTAATATGTCTAATAAACTTGGTCGGCATTCTGTGATAGATTTCAGAGGAATTAAAAGTGCATTTACTATATCTAAGTATTCTTCTGTACCACCAAGCATCGCATCATCAACTATTACTTATGCAGACAGCTCCAGTAGTTCGATGACAAATCTTAACAGTAAAATCGTTTCAACCAAGATGAATGAGAAATAGGATAACCATTACGACAGTAATATATTGTTATGGACAAACTTAATCACTTCCCGTGGAGTAAAATCAGTTTGACCATAAATAAAGTTTTGAACTACAAACTCCAAGTACGCTGATGTTTAAAGAGAAATGACAGCAGTTTAATTTTCTTCAGATATCAACGAACTACTATTTAACTTTGGTGAAATGAAATGTAAATGAAAGAAATATTTCAAAATTGTAAATGTGAATTTAGTAAAATTACAGTTTATTTTTGATACCAATCTGTTTGTTCTTCTGATGAAGCATTCATTAATTTGGAGTAGTGATATATTGCAGATCCTAACTGACATCTTAAGCAAGCTATATAATTGTGTTTTCATGTAAATGAGACATCTTGTGAATTCTAACACTCGATATAACAAATGATAGAAATCTTGGAAAGAACCCATTATATTAAATCTATGTTTTTATCTGGGAATTTGTTGAAATTACGTTATGATTAAATGCACTGACTGAATTTTTCCATAAAATATCAAGCAATTATTTTTGACGAGGTCATAATATGGTGGTTTAATAATAAGACATAGGAATATTTTTGGTAGCGATCAGGTACTCGGGAAGCTAATAAAGATAAAAAAGCTTATGAGGACAAATATTTACAAACAGAATTGTCAGTATAGACTGATTTGGGTCTCATAAAATAATGCTAACGAGATCATTTTTATTCAAACATCTAATGATTAATTCACCTTATATTGGACGTTTGAAGAGATTGATCACTTGCAGTCCTAAACGTCAATGGAAAGATCAAATAATCAATACAAGATGAATTAAACTTCACCTCATTTCACTTGCTAGCGCTTATCCAGACTCAGTAACTAAGTGGGGAGCGGGATGGCTCTTGAAAAGAACGGTACTGGGTTTAAATTCCGGAGTGAAAATTAACTCTGGGATGCAGACACATCTAGCTGACGGGTCTCAAATGGGACGAAACGCACATCTTGATATCCACAGTTAGCCACCATAGATCTCTGCTTATTATGTAATGATTGTGTCCAAAAGTAACAGAAAATTTTACGAATAAACCCTTCCCCTCGAAGTACGGGATAGCAATCCAGATTTGAATCCGGAATATTTTAATTTCTCAGGAGATTAGTTATATCAGCCAATAGCTTCCATAATAGAGTAGCAGGTCTTTTAATTGAACTATGACATTCTGAACTGTTGACACATTTCTAAATTATGTTAAGTGCAGACATTTTAAAAGTCGCAGTTTCTGATCGATGCACTGAGATAATCATAAAACCTTTTTCAAGAGTATTATGAATATTAAAACTAGAAATATATTAAATACCAGTGTTATGTGTGGTTAATTATAATTCTTTGTCTCTTGTTACATGCAAATGTATCTTTCAAACAAAGAAATCCGAATCTCATCAGACAAAACAATCAACATGAACGTGGAAAAATGGGAAGATGGATTATGATTTAAACTATGGACTCCTAAAAATTATATTCTGTTTCTGAGATATACAAATTATGGCTAGCAGTGGGATTCAGTAATGGATCGTATCTGAGACTTTCCTGGGTCTATACGTTGGTGTTCTTACTAAGATCCACACTCAGTACTTATCGCTTCGACCGTCAAAGCGTTTCCAACCAATGATTTAGTCTAGATGACCACAAACCTTTTCACTGTATATTGAGCGAAACGTGGAGTTTTTCATTTCCTCGTTATTTCTGTTACAAACTACAAATCGATTTTGACCAAACTTTCTTGATATTTTATTTTAATAACTTGTTTTAAGTAGATGAGTTGTAATTTTAATTGAATCAAGTACTCATCACTTGGATAACCTATATTATGGCATTCATATTCATTCTGATACTCGAATGCATCTCTAACTTAACTGGATGAGAATCAAGCATAAATAGTTTCCTAGTTAATTTAAATGTTGGTATACAAGTTATTATGTCATTATTATGGAAACTGCACACATAATAGAATCTAAGGCCTTTTATTTTGGTGAGGAAATTGTTGTCATATTAGAGAATGATACTCGATTTAGCATGCTTTACGCATACATTTTACCAAGTTAACTACAATCTATCATAACACACTAAGACAGCTATGAGAAGTAGCTTTGTGAACCAGAGCTTTAATAATTTAGAAAATTATGGTAATCCTAGCATCGTCATTTTATTACAGTGAATCATACATCATCATAAAATCCATTAACATTTTAGGCCAAATGTTATCTGTAAGCTTATACATCTTAATTGATATTAGAGATGAGTATACCGAAAATGTATGTTTTCATCCTAAATAGTGATTTAAACAAACAAATGGTTGGATGAAAATAGATCTTAACAACCCTTTTTTCATTATACTTATCCAGAACACCGTAAAGTAGTTTTCTACAAGTGTGTGAAACCACGTAATATAATCAGCGACTGAATCTTGAAATTCATTAGTGCTCAGTTTGTAATTCAATTTATCTACTTATCATAATGTTAGTTATGCACAACTGTAACAGAATTGTAGATAGAAGACCCAAATGAAGATCACTCATACCTGAAATCACTAAAAAAATACATTGTTGAACCAGTCAAGCTTGAACGGAACTATTTTGATATTAGATCAATCAAGCGAAAGTAAAACATAGATAATGTCTTATTCTACAATATTTATAGATGGCTAAATTTTGTCAGTCATGTTTAAAATGTACATACTAATTCAAATGACTCCAATGTAGTTTACAACATCAATAAGCATTTTAAATAAACAATCATATCAACTTCTGATTTACAACAAAAGGTGAAAGCAATCTGGAAGCAAACATCATTTTCAAAGTGTTCTAATATAAAAAAAACAAAACAACCACTGTTCGAATGAATAACATGATTTTATGAAACTATATATTGACAATATGTAGTTAGTTATCATATCGGAACATTTTTTGTAAAGGATATAAAAAGTTACTGGCATGTTAAAACAACTTTATCCTATTCTGAATGCTCTGGTTTCTTATTCACTTGAACTGAGATCCTTGGTTCGAATCTCGCGATGCGGGATCGTGGATGCGCACCGCTGAGGAGCCCCATAATAGGACGAAACGGCCGTCCAGTGCTTCCAGATTTTCCGTGGTAGTCTAGCTTTAATTGACTCATGAATTCAACTGCTAAAAATTACTACCCTCATTCTGATATTTTTTAATACATAAATGAAGCTTATCATGCTTACACATAAATCTTGTTTTTCAATGAGTAAAAAAAAACATTTTACCGGCAATTTTGCGATTATATCGTATTTTCTTGAAACTGAAGACTGTGATACTCATGGTTTCAACTGAAAAAAGCAATTACTTGAAAATCATTCAATCGTTTTAGCCTAACGTCACTCAGTCAGCTACAACGTAGGACCAGGCACAAATATGCATCGGTCCAGGTTGCCAGGTTGCATCACAAGGTCAACACCGAATATATAAAAGTAGTTAATTTAATGGTGGTAATGTATAAAAGAAAGATTGTATACAAGGATATAGTACAGGAAGAAAGGTATGAAGCAATTTTAATCTCATAGCTTAAGGGAAGACAGAGAGTGTGTACACCTGCGCCATTGTGATCGATTCTGAGCCACGTCACTCAGAGTCTCTAAACATTGGTTACGATAGTCACGTGGACCACAACGAAATAGTTTACATCTACCAACATGGCTCAGACAAGAGGTTAATGAATTCAAGGAGTGATGCCACGTTTTGGTTTGGCCGGCCACTAACTTTCTTCAAACCATCCTCAATACTAGTAAGCATTGAGCGCCGTGGTAATCGGTGTTCAGGCATACGTAACAAGTGGCCCAACCATCTCAGTCGATGTAGATTCACAACAACTAATTTGCCATCATTCCCTAATACCCCGTGTCTAACCTCACTACTACATACCCGGTGATCCCAGAAGATACGAGCAATATTTCGAAAACATCTGTCGTCGAATACTAGAAGCTTAAGAGTATCCTCTACTTTTAATGGTCACGTTTCGCAGCCGTAAAGTAAAACAGAATAAGCATGTCTGTGTTCAAAAACCTGATAAATAGTGAATGTATGGTCGATACAGCCACAATCAAGTCTAAAGCCAGCCTGATTTTCTCGTGTTTGGAGTTCACGAGTCTTGGTTAGGCGCCCGATAATTATTGAGCCTAGTATTTTAGATGTCATATTAGTCAAACTAATTACTTTATGGTTATCACAGAATGATTTTCACCCCTTCCAATATATAGTGGAACAATCAGGAATTATGACCAGTCAGATGGGGTTACGCTCAACTTCCAGATTTTAGCTAAAATATTAGTCAACCTAATCGCTAAAAGTAGACCACCATACTTGAAAACATTCCGATCCAATTCATCTGATGCAGCTGCTCTTCCTCGTTTCAGATTAGCTATAGCCTTTTAAACTTCAGCTTGAGTCGGGGAACCTATTTCAGTGTTCCATTCAGGTTGACTGGGAATGGTGGTTAGTTGTAGAGTATCTGAAGGCCATCTTAACTACTTCTTAAAGTGTTCCGCCCATCGTTCTAAACGCCTGAGCTGAGAGCAGATAAGAGTCTCGTCTTTTTCCTAGTTCGTCTCACTTACACCTGACATCTTAATTCCAGTTTCTTTTACTAATCTGAAGAGTTGTCTGTTGTTGCCTACAGCCTCTGCCTTTTCCATATCTTCTGCTTTCGTTGCCCATCACTCCTCACGATCGTTCCGCAGACTTTTGGTTATCCTACATCTGATTTGTTTACGCTCTTCATCATGTTCAGAGGCTGAAGGGATGAGTTTACGAAAATTGTTCAGTGCAATAGACTTAGTAGAAGTCCATTAGCTTTTTGTAACCCTTTGGTTTAAATCACTAATAGATGTTACTGCTGTTTCCACAGCTATTCGTATATCTTTCCAAGCAATATCTGGGTCAGCTTCGTTTTTAGAACTAAGTGTGATCTCAGATGTTCCTGGAATCTACTTTTGGCTTTCTCGTCCTTCAGTTCAATTCAAATGGTTCTTCTTAGTATGGTTTTTCTGCGTACAGTGAGGCGCAAGTAAATGCATGCTCGTATTAGAGCATGATCAGAGTACAAACAGGTATTCCAGAACGAGCGACAGTCTTCTATCGAGCATCTCTAACGATGATTGATGGCAATATGATCTATTTGAGTCCATCGTTGGTTTGGTGCAGGTGGTCGCCATATTAGACGTTGTATCTCCTTATGTTTAAGATTAGTGTTTACTAACAGGAAAAAATTGTCTGAGCATATTTGCGACAGATGATCACCATTATCTGTTCGCTCAGCCGAAACACTAAAACACACACCAAAAAGTTTTTCTTTTCGGTTTCAGCTACCTATCTGGGCATTCAAGTCACATGCAACACGTAGTATGTCTGAATGTTTAGCTTTTTGAAGAAGTTCACAGAGCTTTCTGTGAAAGTCATCTTTCACTTCATCCGGACTGCAGTCAGTGGGAGTGTAGGCAGAAACGATGAAAAGGCAACGACATCTGTCCCTATCCCTCCGAGTTCTTACGAAGCCATTTAGCTGAACATAGCTAGCACATAGGCGACTGATAACGGGGATCCATTCCAATAGTTCTCGTTCTGCCCTCGTAATTAGTACTAAGCCTACACGCTTCAGTCCACGGGAACCAGCCATCGGGTCGCCAGATACAAGGAGGGAGTATCTCGTCGGCTGTCCCTTTTGGCGAGGTAAGGTCAGGTGAATGACCACACTAGGACCCTGTATGTGTGTTTCGAGGAGACACAGAA